ACTGGCACAAAGCACAATATCACCTACGCAATTTAAGAGCAATACTAGCACAAGCAGTGAGTTTCTAAAGCAACACTAGCAGTCCATCAATAGGTTATTATTATTATTTATGCTTCTAAATAATAAACATCATATGTTCTAAAACAAATAGGAATAAAGATATAAACTAGTTCCATTTTATTTATGTCTGTTTTGGGTCTCGATCGAAATTGGCACTAGTCGTAACTTACTTAGTCGTCCGTTTACAGCATAGCAGATTCTTTAGAATGAGGGAAGTTTATTTCTGTATATGGTGAATGGTCCCTTCGTTGATGTAGGGTAGTTTCGTCGGAGTAAATGTTGGGGTTCAACCTCCTCGTTAACCTTAGAATTCAGGGATCGTTGGCATGTGGTGTGTAAAAAAAATTAGTAGGAAAAGTGAGATATTTTACCTCATCGTTGATTCCTTGTCGTAGGTCGCCAGCGTAGTGCGAGTCAAAGTGTCTAGAGGCGAGCGATGGTGGTTTGGTTTCGAGAGACATACGAACTGTTTTTTTGTCTTCTGGAGGTCGATTTAGCGAGCTCTTAGTTTCGGGTTTGTGATCTAGAGGGAAAATCGGGGTGTGGATGTTGGTTTAGGATTAGTTTCAGTTTCTCTGGTCACCGTTGAGCGGTGGTCGTGAGGTTGGTGAAGAAGAACGATCGGAGAAGAAAGGGATAGTGAAGAGAAAACGTGAGGAGCGGCAGAGTTCAGTTTAGTTTAGCTTAGGTTTAAGTTTTACTTAAGTTTTATATTAACATTTTAGGATTAATTAGTGTTTAGCCATTGTAACTTTAAAGTAAAATTAGTATTTGGTCCACACAGGTTTAGCTTTTATTTAAACTTTAGTCACCTTTAAGACTGCTTTTGAATTCTGCCATTTTATAATTGTCCTGATTTCGTTGTTTTCCCAATTGTAATCTTAGTTGTAATTTTTTAGATTATTTATGTTAAATCCTTTATATTTATGCGTGTTTTTATTTAAGTCCCTAATTTATTTTTTGATTTGTATGTTGAATTTACATTTATTTAATTTAGTCATTTTCAATGTATATATATATATTTTAAATTTATAGTTTAGCATGTCATGTTTTCGTTTTGGTATTTAAGTCACATTTGTATATATAATATGTTAATGTGCATAATTTATAACTTTTAATTTTAAAATGTATGTATATAATTTTTGTATGTTACATTGTATGATATTTTTAATTTTGTTTAATTAATTTTTGGCATGACATTTTTTGCACAATTTGTATGATATCCTCATTTGCATAACTTGACATATTACATAATCGGACTAAGGGTAATACCCTTTTAATTTAAAATTGTTTTAAGTGGGCAGTCATAACTAATTTGAGGTCCGCTTTTAATGATTTTAAAATAAAAGTGTATCCCGAAAGTGAAACCAAAAAATTGATTCGTCACCTAAAATTTGGGAACGAGAGAAAAGGAAATGTTCGTTTATTTAAATATATCGAGAAAATGTTGTTATATCTTTAAAATCTGGTCTCGATATTTGTAAATAATCGAACATTCTTTATCTTTCTAAAACGACTTGGTAATTTTAATTTAATTTATTTAGGTGCTTTTGAATGTTTTTAAATTTACATCTTTGTTTTATGGGATCAAAAATCAAATTAAGTTCGAATTTGTAAAGTTCATTGCAAAGACTTTAATTAATCGACGAGGTACCGATTTAGGGCGTTGTGGGGGTGCTAATCCTTCCCCGCACGTAACCGACTCTCGAACTTGGATTTTGGTAACGCATACCCTAATTTATTATTTTAATTAAAATTAATTTTTTTTTAAAATAACAAATATTTTTTGGGTGCCCAATCATACATTGGTGGTGACTCTTTGAACTGTATTTTTTCGATCGTAAAGAAAATCCAAAATTTTTTGAAACGAGAGGTATTTTAAACCGCATTTGTTTTTTAAATTAAAAATCATTTGAAAGAGGATAATTAAGAATTCATGTGATTTTTAAATCTCACTTTTTTAAATTTAAGAAAAAAATCGTTTCGACAGTGATGATGGTAAGAAATAATAAGGGGATATAAATATTATGGTTCAATGTTTGGTGCCTTTCCTATCTGATCCATAAATTTATTATACCATTTAAATGGGTAATCTAAATTAGGTAGTAATACAATCATGCTGGACCCCGCCAAAAAAAAAAAACTTTTCCCTCTCCACTGTTTACTTTAATATATATTTTTTATTTTATTTCATTTTTTAAGTTCATCAATCCTAAGTAAAAAAAATTAAATTATTTGAGTTAATAAGTTATAATTTATTATGATTTAAATTTAATTTAATTTTTTAAATCAATTCGAGTTAAATTGTTTAAGTTTTCATATAAATATAATATTAATTATTTATAGTATTATAGTACAAATCAGATATAATTTTTTGAATTTGTCTAACCATATATATACTACTATTTTTCACATTTTAATTTTATTTAAAATATCAAATACAATCTAAAATTATAAAATATATTTTACAATATTATATTTTAAAGAAAATATATTTAGGGTAAAATATAAAGAAGTCAATGAATTAAGTAAAATGTAAAGTCAAAAGGTTAAATTCAAGAAGAGTACACTTTTAGTAAAAAAAACAAGAATTTAACTGGTAAATACAAGACAATATTTGTTTATATTAAAAAATAAAGAAACTTGTTACCAGAAAGGTAATTGTAAGTATATATTTATTCTATGAGAATTTAGAGTATATAGTTTAAATTTGGTAGAAAAATAGACTTAAAATGAAAAATAAATTCTAGGAATAAGGAAAATACAATTTTTTCCATTTAATTTCGAACTTGAGAAAAATGGGGTTGAAATCGAATAGGATGGACAAGCGGTTAAAAGTGTAAGTCTGGACAAGTGTGGTGAATGGGTTTTAGATATAGAAATTGAGGTCAAAAGACCTGAATAATCATAAATAAATGGATTCTTTTGAGTAATTGAATTACAATTAAGGCTTAATAAAATAAATAAATGTCTAAGAAAGAATTTTTAGTTAAAATAGGTGCTTAAAGTTTTATCCATTATATTTTTTTGTATCTACCGTTTAAAAAATTATTAAGCTACACGTGTCACGTCCATATGTTTTTTAAAAATAAAATACTATTTAAGCTAAACTATGATTAAAATTTATTACATATTTGGACGAATTTGAGGATGAAATTAGGATATATGAAAGTTTGAGAACCGATTGAGAAAGATGGTTATAGTTTAATGATGAAATTAGAATGTTTCAAAAGTCTAAAGACTAATTTAAAATGAAATTCATAGTTTGGGGATGAAATTAAAATATTAAAAAAAACTGAGTATCAATTTAAAATGAAGATAATAGTTCAAGGTAGTTGTCGCGGTCGTCTTTCGGTTGGGTCCCGGAATTGGGTTTCGACTTAAATAAGTGGGTTAGAACCGATCATTTATTTTAAAAGAAATTTAGACCGATCAGACACCATCTTACATGATATGCGTTTTACCAAAAATATGTCGGGTTCGGGAGTCGGTTACGGTCAAGGAATGATTAGCATCCTTAAACCGCCCTTTCGGTACCAATTAATTTATCGGTTGTCTTAAATACGAAAATTTAAATCAAAATTTAAAAATTCGATTCAAATTGCTTACCTTTGATTGATTGAGACAACCCCTAAAAAATCAAAAAGATGTTAGAATATAAAATAAAAATAAATATGAAACAAGAAAAAATATTAATATAATAATAATAATAAAATAAATAAAATAGATAACAAATATAAATAAAAGTTAGTAAAAATAATAATAAGATGAAATTAAAAGAAATTAATGAAGAGCATCACCAGAAAGTTGCTTGGAGGCTTTCTTTTTTACCGGATGCTTGTTTATTACTCATTCCCTCCAATGAATTCCCATTATTACTAATGTGTCCATGACCAATTGTTTCAATAGGTCTATGCCAACGTGAGGAAGCCCTTTCATCCAAACCACTAGGTGGTGAATTGGATCTTCCATCTCTAAAAACCCATTTTTTTTTCCTAAGTTTTCAATTCCAACTCTATCATAATTAGGGGGTAACTCAGCTTCCCAGTAACTATTTTCCTTTTCATTCCCCCATTGATTGAATAAAAGCAACCTGCTCAGGAAGCCACGTGTCTAGTGTAACAGATCAAAACTTCGATATGTGTACCCCCAAGACTTCTGTGGATCCCAGAACACTGCATGCATATAAAGATTCCTAGATTCACACTTTCCCATCTTGGACCTTTGGTTTTGTAATAAGCACATTCCCTATTCTCTAGCAATTTAAGAAGACCTTCAATCATCTTTCGTTGTCTTGCGCTGAGCTCCTTGGTAACGCTGGCCTTCTCATTCATGTTTGAGATATGAAAAGAAATCTACAGCTAAAGAGAGATCAGAGATGATGCCGACGAAGAAGAAAGGGTAATTTCAAAAGAAAACAAAGGTCAATTCAATTTTTTTTGTCACCTCTCCTCTCCAATACCCAATCCGAATTAGTGATAAATAAATTAGATACCGATGATTATACAAAATAATAATAATAATAATAATAATAAAATCAAGTGTATCAACTAAATTACTTTAGCGGTTAAAAAAATAATTGTTATTCTTTAAGATTTCAGAGTCGAACAACAAAGATTAAACATTCATTATCAAATGATTGAGAACTTTTAGAACCGATACTACTAATTGTAAACACCCTATAATAAAAGTAGAAGAATATTAATGCATGATTCATAATTTTCTTGTTTATAGTTTTATAGTTCTTTTAGTTTAGCTTACGTTTTGTGTTTCATCAATTATACCCTCAAGATCATCATACCATATATCAACAAAATTATTGACCATTAACCGATCACCAAGTAATCATCCAAAAATACTTTATGGCTCCATGTTCAAGTCCAACCCACAAATTCAAGTAGCATAAGTTATCATCTTACCTCCAAGAACTTTAACCAAAGTAAAAACATAAACATATGTCGTATATTTAAGCAGATAAATGAAAAACAAATAGAACAAAACGATGGGCCCTGTGCCTTTGTTTACATATCTTAAATTTGACACACCAAAATTGGTTGTCAGTTGACACAATGACAGTCATCAATTAATGGCTAAACCTTCAATCACCCAGCTCCGATCTCGGCAACAGTATCGACATCTACTCCGAACTCGAGTTTTGTCATGTTCTTTAGCAAGAAAAGGCAAAAGTCAACATCACCATATCACGATCAATGGGAAAAAAAAAGAGTGGACATCAATTAGATGAACATGTAAAAGACATAGCTAAATTTTACCTCACTGGATAGAGATGTCCGAGGAAATACGGAGCTGTGCATCAACCCCACCGCTCACCACACAGTCACCCTTCCACCAATCTGCACATAATACCTAGAAATGCAACCAGGCCACAACCATTAATGGGGGATTTGATATATGTTTGCTTGTAAAGTACATCAAAGCGACAAATATTAGGATCATACCTTATCTTTGTGTGAATCGACAATAGCAAGAGGAAACTGCCACATGAAAAGAGTATTCATCAAAAAGACGTCCATATACACAAATGGTGGCAATTAGTTTGGTATGTGCAATATATAGCTAAAATCTTGAGAATATGATACGATACCGCTGTTCTTAGATCCCACAACATTACTTTCCCATCATAGGATGATGAAAGTAAATGGACAGAAGACCAATTGTGCCACTTGCAAGCTGAAATCCAAGAACCATGTGAAGAGAACTGAAACACGGGTGACGATGTTCCTTCAGAAGTAAAAATGTTTCAAGTGAGATGGAAATTTCAACTGTTTGGTGTCTGTTTTGTCAACAACTGGGTGAGAAAGAGAGAGAAAAGAAAAGCATAATTATGATACACGAAATTATTGAAAACAAACCTGGTTTTCGAGGATCCCATATTCTAAGAATTGGATCGGAACCACCACCAGCAATGAGAGTCGATCCTTCACCCCCTATATCAATGCAGTTGAGGACTTTGCCACAGAACTGAACATGAGAGAGGATGGTACACTCAAACTTTTATATATATATATATATATAAATCTAGGGTAAATACAAGGTAGTGTGTGTTAAAAGACTCTCAACCACTTGACAATAAACACTCGTACACCTGGCATTTGTGGTGCTCAAACCCGGGATCTCAAGGGATAATTACAAGTCCCTTAACCACATGAGATCGTTTGGTTCGTACTACATTCAAACATTAGGTTGGTGTTTGGGGGGGATTGTTTTCTACCTTAAAACTTTCCAAAGTGGAGAACATGGGGAAAAAATGAATCTAACAGAATTGCATCTAGCATGTATCTATAGGATGATTCAAATTCAAGCCAAACACTAAAAGCAACAATAGCTCAAATTTCAATCATAAGTTTAAAAAAGTTACAGTTTGCTAGATTTTAAGAAAAAAGTTCGCCTAACAGGTGTGACATACAACTATGTTACTCAGATGTATCAGCTACAGGTATGTTCAATTTTTTCTTAGTTTTCTCATGTATTCCGAGCGTCTTCGGAGGGTTATATTCTCATACCTACGTCTGAAAATGTGTCATACACGGATTTTTCAGAAAAAAAATGAAGAGTCAAAGCAACATATAAGTTAAATGAGGCCAACCTCTTGGGATGGACAGGCAGCATGGGAGGAAGGACTCTAAAAACAGTTAAATAGGGTAAAAGGGATGCAATAGATGAAAAGAATATGAAAGCAAAAGAGGAACTGGATCGTGGAAGTGAGGAAAACAAAAAACAAACTAAGAAATAGTATTTCTGCTCCTTTATTTTTGTTTTATTTTTTAGTTTAACAAAATAGTACATCCAAGCATTAAAATAATGCAGAGACATGATACAAGAATAAAGCATACTTCCTGTAACTGCGAGGCTGATAAGCTAGCAGAGGAGGGGATTGGGTGATGGTATTTGTTGTTTCAGCGAGTTGGGGCGTTCAGCAGTTAGGTTTATTAGGAGTGTGTTTAAGTTTTATGTATCTTGCAGGACTGTTTTTATGTCTTATGTACTTCATTAGCAATCAATAAATTCTGGCACTCTTTTCCTCCTCCCTCTAGTTGGTTCTTACCCTAGGGTAAAGGACCTCTAAGAGGGAGGTTTTTAATGAGGCCATCTTTCTTATCAAAAAAAAAAAGAATGCAAGTCCATGCAAATATAACATAAATATACAGAGGGGGAGAGACTTGCGTACTATATCAGACAGATCTTTGCCCGTCTCAACATCCCATTTTCTAACAGAGTGATCCCATGATGCAGAGTAAATGGTCTCATGTTGAGGCCAAACCACACAAGAGACACACTGTGTATGGCCCACGAGTGCAGACACTGCCTCTCCCTGTACAAAACATGGAGGATGTAGAAGAAAAAAGGTGGAAATTTCGAAATTTATATCAGAAAGGCCAATACTTATAAATAAATGCAGAACATTCTTTAGAATGAAATTGCTATGTCATAAAAATTTCAGAGAGAAATATCAAAACTAATGATACTGATAAAAAGGCATCCAAATTCTACCAATTCAAGAGTAAGCAAGGAAGATTGGAGGTTAATAAATGATATGGCATCGCACTCATCATTGATTCTCTCAAAAAAGTGCATGTTCTTCTAGTTTTACTTTCAAAGAGTTTTCACAAGGCAGGGATGTTACTCAATGAAGTTCTTGTGCATGATGGTAAATAAGTCAGCTACTTGAAAATCGAAATGCAGAGGGACAAAATGATAAGGACGGCATACCTCTGATTGAGGTTCTTCAACTTTATTATTCACTTTCCTTTTTTTTATTGGCACTGTATCCCCATCTATATCAGAGTCACTTGTACGCCATAAATTGATGGTGCAATCCCAAGAACCCGAGCAAATCTATATCAAGTAAAGAGACAAAGGCAACAACCTTGATATTAGAAATCAACATTATCACATTACAATAAAGACAAAAAACTATAGTTCAAAATATAGCTTATACCATGTCTCCCGAAGTCTTTGCAGCAACGCTGTGTACAGATGCATTATGCCCACGTAATATCTTGAATGCTCTTATCTTTGCAGGATGGTCACTAGAGTCCTCGGCATCAAACTTTTATAGGAAAAAAAATGTATCAATTAGTGCTTAATTTTCCACTTAGAAACAAATTCATTTTCCGTAATTACCTTCCACAGCCTCAGAGTTCGATCTTTTGAAGCAGTGACTACTGTAGCACTTCCTGCCCCTGCATTAGATATTGATTTAGGATTGGGCATAAAGAGACACCACAGAAAACCAAATATCATTTCACCAAGACAGAAAGGATGATACATAGAGTACGCATAGTGTTGACCATTAATATCAGAAAAAAGCAATAGCATGCCTGATACATTCAATGCATAAAAATGTTAACATGACGGCTACTGGCCCTAACCTTCTGAGTTGATGATTCTAACAGAAGAAACTGCACCACTGTGTCCTTCTAGTATATGTGTACACCATCCCGCTTGTTTCCATACCCTAAAAGAAATTAAAAAAAAAAAAAAGAAAACACGATTTCTGTCACTGAAGTCCATAAAGCAACAAAAAGAAAATAACAGATAACTTTAAAAGTTAGAAAGAATCAGACAAGAAAAAGTCTATTTACCTTCCCAAGCCATCATAGCAACCAGTTAAAATGAAGCTGCAAAACAATGTTTGTTAAGCAGTGTTAGGAAATAAGTGTAAAGCCGACGCTTGATAAATGAGATTAACACCCGCATCAACAGCAATGCCACAACAAATGCAAAATGAAGCACCAGTGTAATGGATACATCTTGGGAGGCTTACCTAGGACTAGAACCATCCACTGAACTGACCCAATCATCATGTGGAGAAGGCTTTGCCTCTTTTCGAGGGGCAACAGCTCTTATGTACTCAATTTCCAAAGTTTTTTCCTGCGATAGTTCGTGACAGAAACTCAGGGTTTGAAAAACTTAAATCTTCTCAAATTTCACACATCTTCAATTCTTTAGCATGAATACTCTCATTAAGAGCATTTCCTGATAAGAAAGATGGAAGCGCTCGTCTAGTGGCATCACTAATTATAAACTGACCAAAAGAATTTGTTAAAAAAAATCGATAACAAGACATGTTTGAAAAGGACTAATTCTCCCTATTTAGAACTCGCACAAAGCAAATTGCGGACATAAAAAGATTGAAGGTATAAAAGTACCGCAGAAATGCCCTTGGCAAGAAGAAACTCCTCAAGAGGCATCCGCACAAGCTCTCCATCGATAAGGAAATCAAAGGGCTCGGTTTTCCACTCAGAATTCACTGTTCATAGCCACAAAACTTACAACTTTATAAAAAGAAGAAATTATAATTTAACCAGGAAACCGTTAAATGAATTCTATAAACAGCTCTAGAGCCATTGACTAGAATTAAGTACTACCATAGTTAATTAAAGAAACTAGAAAAAGAAAACTGAAGGAGACTATAAATCAAAGTTTCCAAGAAAAAGCCAAAAATTCGTAAATAAACAAGGTTTCATTCAATTACCCAGAAATATACATACAAACTCATATTCCTTTGAATGAGGTTAGCTCATCAAATTACGAAAATACTAGAACAAACCCAAATCAAATTATAAAAAAAATAAACTGAATACGAAAGGCATCCTATGTTTATTTCTTAAGAAACTAAAAACCAACACTCCAAAATGAAAAGGAAAAAAAACCGACCACTGATCTCAATTGTTATATAAATAAAATATAAAAAAAGAAGATTACCAGCTTGAAGAAGCTTGTTAACAATGGAGGAAAGGCCTAAGCGATGGAAGTGCGAAGGGATGGCAATGGCTGTATTGGGAACTTTATATGGAGCTTTTAGCTTCGTTACAAATCTGACTTGGATCCTCTTTGAGTTGTCTTCATTAGTTTCACTTTCAATCTCCATGTTTCTTCGAGGCTTTGCTTCTGTTTTGGTGGGGATTTGTTTAATTTAGAGATGAGTAGACCATGGAACTCAGGGTTTCAAACAGGGTTTTACAAATCAACAAAGTTAGCGGCCGCGATGTGTGAGGAGGACGAATAAGATACTAGGTATTGTTCGAGGTTTATAAAAAACTTTGGATAAAGTTAACAAATAGTCACTAAACTATATTAAATTCATCTTTATAGTCATTAAACTTTATAAATTTTATAAAATGATATTATTCATTTTTTTTGTTATAAAATAGACACAATTAGATGTATTACCTTAAATTAATAAGTAACATCTCATTTACATTTCAACTATAATTAAAAGTTTATTTTAATATTTTTTATTAATAATTTTATAAAGATTTAAATATTGATATTTTTAAAAAAAGTATAATGACAAAATTAGTATCTAATGCTTGATAAAATGGTCATTTTAGTCCCTATTCCATTTTTAAACACTTTAACCTCCAGTGTTTCATTTTGGGGTAAAATACTCATGGTTTAATGGAAATCGTTAATTGAGTAATGCTCAACACTTCCAGTAATGCTCAACACTTCCCGTTGACTAGACAAGTCTATGTAGATTAAAATGCTGACATGTCATGTCCATACGTGATGTCATTTTAAAAAAAATTAATTAACTATAAATAGTTATTTTTATTAATAATAACCAATCGAATGATGTTACGTGACCAGTTAATTTCAAACTAAGGAATTAAGAAAAAAATGCATTCACTGTCAGTAAAGTAAATAAATTTTCATAAGAGAAGATTTAAAGGAGGACATATACATATCCAATGCAATTATCGTTTGTAAAATCTATCACCACATCGATAAGGGATGGCAAATGGACGAGGTGAGTGTGGATACTCCTTTCTCCATCCCCATACTCATTTATTTTTTTCATATCCACCATCTACTCACAATCCACAAAGAGTAAAATTTTTAAATCTTCACTCACCCATGTGGGTATATTCTCAAATCCACCCTCACACCCAACTCTGATCATTTAATGGTCATCATCATCATTGTCGCCCTTGTCTTCTCCCTTGTCAGTTGTCATTGTTCTTATCGTCTTGGTTGTCGTTGGGACGTGATTTTTCAATGTTTTAAAACGTCGGGTCGCATGAGTGATGTCAGGTTCTGGGATCTGGTTCGTTAGCATCTTGTCATCGGGTGGAGGTTCGCTCAACGATCGGTGGCAACCGACGTGAGTTTAGAGATTGAAATTAAGGCTTTCAAGTTTTTAGTTTTTTTTTTAATTTAAGAAAATTTTGGGATTTTTAAATATAGTAATATTTTTATTTTTTTTAAAAATAAAAATTTTAAAATTACCAGAACGTGACACGTCTCACTTAACGAATTTTTTAAACATCATTACGGCCAAGACACTTAACATGATAATATTTATAACGTTATGTACCTAAATTGATCGAAAAATAGTTTAGGCACCTAAATGAGAAAATTAATATAATTTGGGCACTTATTTTGGCTGAATATAAAAATAAGTACAATAAGTGCCCAAAGTATACTCAGAGTTAATTTTATGTGCTTAAAGAATTTTTCATTGCAAATAGATGTCTAATATTTTAAGTGTTATACTTTTAGGTTTCTGAAATATAATCGTCGTTAAATTTTGCAGTTGTCTGACACATGTTAGACATATTAAAATTTAAAAAATAATTTTTAAAAAAAAGTATTTAAAATTATTATTTAAAAATTCCAATTTTTTTAAAATGATAAAAAAATAAAAAAAAATCAAAGAAACCCTAATTTCAATCCCCCACCACCATCGTTCCCACAACCACCGTCAATTGGCCAAAATCTCTACAGTGCACGAGTGTCCAAACACCCAATAACAAAACCCCTATGCTTCAAGTGACTATTGCAACGAAAAAATAGGCGATTGTAGCGACTTATTGATTATGATTAAGGGCGATGGTTTTAACGATTCAAGTGATGATTCCTCCTCTGGTGCATTGAAATCCAGTAAAGGGGTTGAAATTAGGGATTTTAAAGTTTGAATTTGTTAGATTTAAGGGAATTTTAGGGTTTTTTTTAATAAATTATACATATATTTTTTATTTTAAAATAATTTTTTTATAACTCTAACACGTGTCACTGAACAACTGGATTTAACAACAGACTCCTAAAAGTATAACGTTAGAAACATTAAACACCTATTTTTAACAAAAAAAATGCTTTACACAATTAAAATTAAATTTGGATATACTTTAAACACCTGTTTTTACATTAAACCACTTTTTTATATTAAGCCATCTTTTAAAGATACACGGCATTGATGTTGAGATTCCTTGAACCAAAACAAAAGTAACATTGTCTTGACAAATCAAAACAAAATGGGTGCCGGTTCATTGTTGAAATAGGTAAGAGTTTTGAATTTAGTCCAATTTCAATTCTCATTTCTGCCATCGACCCAAAATGAAAAAAAGAAAGACTGTTTCAGGTCAATTCAAAGACTTGTTCCCCAAGTTACCTTGGAAGGTATTCTAGAGAATCATTAGGTGGCGCTCAAACACTTTCATAAAAATAATTCAAAATCCAATCACTGAAAATCCAGCTTAACACAAACCTGAGCATTGCCTGTTTTATTCATAAAAACACAACACAAATCCACTAACATGGATTGATTCAAGTGATAAGTAGTAAGATATCATTTAAATAAGATTTCAAATTCGAATCCTTATGTATGCATAAAATCTTTACTGAAAGACTCACCCACCAAAGTTAAATGTACGACGTGGGTCAATCCGAATTAATCAAATCGAAACCTTAAACCCAAGACAACAACCAATAAAAAAAATTACAACACAAATCCCCTTCCTAACGTGTACTACTTTCCAAGTACGTGGAAATATGATCCTCCATGTGTACGGAACCACATTAAAAGATCTCATCATACCCGTATTTGACCCGAGTCCGAGTATCGTATCCTTATTTGACACCAACACCCGAGTCCGAGTATCAGGTTTTCACCTCCTATGAGGATTATGCAATGATTTTTGAGATCCCTCAAACAGATCCAACAAGTAATCCTGCAGATCTTCAGCATTGTACCTGATGTGTTTCTCACCGATCTGGTGCATTTGCCTTCCCACAAATGTCCGATACGCCTGGATCACTTTCAGGGACGTTGAAATCCGTAGATCTTCTCGGAGCTGAAGGTCCGGGATAATCCATGCCGTCTGCGTTTTATAGACATCTTCAAAGGCAATGTAAAAGCTCCGCAATCTCTCCTTGAGAAGCGTCCTCGAGATCGAGCTGTTGCTGGAATTGCTCTCGTCTTTCAGTAACGAGAGAATACTACTCCAGGTTGCTCTCTCATAGTCCATCGCGTGCTGCTGGAATTTCCGGTTGTGCTTTCGGATCCACTTGTCTCCGAATATACCCTGGAGTTCCGAATTTTTAACCTTCTGAGCCATGTAATGGATGTTGTTCATCAAAAACAAGTGCTGCAATGAAGCATCCCTGTATAATCTGGATTTCTCGTGGAGATTGGCTTCTAGGATTGAAGTGAGTGATTGCAAATGCAGTGCCATTGCGGAAACACCGCCGCAAGAATCATTACCCGTACTTTCGCCCTCCTTAGCAGGACTCATGTCTGGGGAGAGTGACGTTGCCGCTTCTCCGTTGTCGTTCTTGAGGAGTAAATTTAGTGTATCTTTATAGTCTACAAGAATCTTTATGTAATTCATAACATATCTGGTCAGGGGGTGATTTCCCCCTCCCGCAAAAGGGTTCATCGATGTGTTCGATGCTACAGCATTCTTGAATTCAAGAAACGTTGCCATCACGGAATCGGCCAATCTCTCCAAAACCTCGTGGTACTCGATTCCCACGGAAGAACCAGTTTCATCCAAGAACAATGCATCAATGTCCGGAAGAAGATCTGCAAGCACCTCATACATGTCTAAAAATCGAACTAGCTTTTCCGGTTGATGAGAGCCGATAGAGACGGCCTCAGCAAAGTTCAGAAGCTGCAGCATTGGAGCCTTTGCCGCTCCAACAAAACATACTGAGCTAGCCGATCCAAGCTCCAAAAAGATCTGGTCGCAGAGCCACTTCTCGCTGGCGAGATAGGGCCGGACAAATACCTTCATAGCTCGAATCCATCTCTTGATTTTCGAATTCAGGGTACCCCACTCCATCTTCAGCACGTCATCAATGCTAAGTTTATCGATTTCAAGATCGGAAAGGCACTTGTCCAATGCGTCCTTTCGAACAGCTACATATACCTGGCAACACTCGTTATCGTAATTTGACAGGAACATCGAATTGGCAATGCATTTGAGATCATGAATCACATCAGGATGAACCAAATCGACGATACAGTCCTCCGAACGGCTGACGCTATATCTGCGTGCCGACTCCTCGAAAGAGTCATTCCCGTATGAAACCATCAATCCCACATCGACACTATCATCCTCACTGGATCGGAACGAAACTTGCTCGGGCTCAAACGGTTGCCTATGCTGAACAAGCAAGTACATAAACTCCTCCTCAAGCCTTTGCATCGCCAACTGAAGAACATCATGAGCCCTACACAACAACTCTTTCTCATCTTCACCGTTCAAGCACCGATCCTCTAATTCTCCGATCAACTTCCGAGCTTCTTCGGTAGCATTCAGATACTCGGAAGCTTCATCGGGACCCGAATCAAAAATCATGGACTCGTCAGTCTCCCAACTCATAATCTTTTCCTCAACGACACTCAACTGTTCTTCAATCCCAGATTTCACACCCACAACAACTTCATCCTCCATCGTAGCCATATTCGATAATTGGCTACCGAGATCTGCTAATATCTTTTTCATATCCTTGGTGAGATTCTTGTTCGAGCCCAAAACTCTCACTATATGTTTTGCGGCAGCAATCAAATTTTCTTCTCCTTCTAATTGTGGAGCCATAGATTCACAATCCCCCATGGATGTTCAAAAACAGAGAAACTATAAACTAGCCCCTTTTCAAAAAAGGGTGAAATGAACCCAGATTTTTAGAGACTCAAAACACAAAATTCAAACACAGAAGCTGCAGATACATGATAAAACTATCAAAAGAAAGAAAGAAAGCATAGGACACGTTAAGAGAAAGTGAATTGCGTGTACGGAAAGCACAAAGGAAGAAAACTGAAACTAACCTTGAAATCGGAGGTTTGGGGTAGCATTTATTCAAGGGAATTGCAGCTTTACTTGCAAGTTTGTTTGTTTAATATGTTTCGGAGCTTGCAACTTTTCAAGTCCTTGATTAAAGCTGTTTTTTTCTTCTATTTTTTTTGTTTCATACCTTGTTTGTTGCTTTGACTAGTTTTGGCCACGCATGAAAATAATAAAAGAAAAAAATGCACCTGAGGCTCTTATACTTTTGAAGAAAAATCAACGTGGCCCTCAAATTATATTTTCATCTAATATGGCCCTTTAAGTCAGAAAACAAATTCATTGTGGTCCTATAACCAACGTTTTTCGTCTTTGACAATTACGATGCTAACGTCGTAGTTTAAAGTGTTGATGTGACAGTCCACAGTGATTGATGATGTGGTAGATTACAAGATAGACAGATTAAATTAGTTTTTTGGTCTTGTTCGAGAGTTAAATTATTTTTTTAAAAAAAGCTTAAGGGCTTATTTTTTTTTTAAATTATTTTATATTAAATCTTAAATATAAAGAATATTTATATTAAAAATAAAGATTAAATTACCAACAAAATAAATACATGTGTTAAAAATACTAAAATTACTATTAAAAAACTTAAAATTTTAAATATATATTATAAGTTATAAAAAGATAAAATATAAATTATTAAAAAATTAAAAATTAAAATAATATATTATATATACTATATACATCTAGCATATATTCATATCATCAACACTTATACAAGTACTATGACTGAATTAGCTCAGACTTACAAATTTTGTATCTAAATATAATTAAGAAACATAGTAAGTTACTTGAACCAACACACAAATCTAATCATATTTTAGACAATTTCTAAGTGCCACTTTATATACTAGCTTATTAGACGATGTACAAGAGTTTACGAATAGTTTTTAGAATTGTCTGAAGTATGCTTAAATGAGTGTATTGATACAAAAAACTTATTATTTTTCCTAATTATATTTAAGTAAAAAATTTATAAGTCTCAACTAATCTAATAAAAATATTTTATATAAGTGTTTACTATATGATTATATATTACATGTATATATTATATATGATATATTTTAAAAAAATATTTTAAAGTTTTAATAATTTATAAGTAATCATTTTATAGTTTATGACATATATTTATTTTCTTTTAGTTTTTAGTAGTATTTTTAATATTTTTAATATGTATATTTATTTTTTAGTAATTTAATTTTTATTTTAAATATTTTTATATTTAATTTTTTGAAAAATATTTTGAGTATATTTAAAATTTAAATTATTTTTATTTTTTTATAAAAATAATTAAGCCCTTGACCTTTTGAAAAACTCAATTTGTCGGAAAAAAAGATAAATTATTCAATTGTCCACTTAACTATTTAGCCATTTTACTTTTGTCATCATTCTTTTAATTTTATCAATCAAACCACTGACTATTTAATTGTATTCAATCAAACCACTTACCGTTAATATTTAACAAAAGTAGTGATATGACTATTAATAAAATTTGTATATTTACATATTTAATCCTTGATTTTGTATATTCTATCAATTTAACACTAATTTAAATTAATTTAATAAATTTAATCCCCAATCAAATGATGACACTTGTCATCACTTAATTAAGTTTTATTTTAATATATTTGATTTAATATATTTAAAACCCAATCAAAGGGTGACACATTTCCCCTTTAATTGGTGTCAAAACGGCTTAAATAATATTAAAGCTGCTGAAAAAAATCGAACCCAAGCAAATAGGAGGAATGCCACGCAACTTTACCATCACAAGTGCTGGATTTCCAACTCAGAATATATTTTGTATTTTAAATTATAAATTCTTAATATATATTTATATTAAATTAAATACAAAATTAAATTAATTTCACTTATTAATTTTTAAAAAATATATTTTATATTTATATTTAACTTAAATATATATATTATTTTTATTTTAACTTAAAAAAATATATTTTAGTTTTATCTTAACTTAAATAATATATTTTATTTTTATCTTAACTTTTAAAAAAAATTCTTTATTTTAATAGATCTCAAATTTAAAATATATTTTATTTTTATCTTAAATTATTAAATATATATTTTTATCTTAATTTAAAAAATATATGTTATTGTTATCTTACTTTTTTAATTTTTATCTTAATTTAAAATTATCCAAAAAATATTTTATTCTTTTCTTAATTTAAACATTTATATTTTGCTAATAATATTTTAAAATTTAGATAATTAAAAAGTATCCAAAATTGCTCTACCATTCCCAGCTTTGAAATGGCTCCATATCATGGCGTAGGATTAATTAAAATAAATAAATTATTGTGTAAAACATTATGCAAACATGATGCCTGCTTCAGTGGCTAGTTGTGCGCGTACGCTTCTCATTGTCCTAAGTTCGATTCTGAATAACTCAAAATTTGATATTCCATCAACCAGATGATACATGTGTCACCATATTGTGGTTGGAAGATAAATATACAAATAAAAAACACAATTAAATTATAAAAAAAATTATAATTATACCGAATTTAATAACTGTCAAATCAATATGTATTGATGTTAGATATTAACAGTAAAATGATTAAATAATTAAGTAGTCAATAATATATAATTTACTTAAAAGAAATTTAATTCACATGTTATGTTGTCCATTATCAATTATTGTGGATCGTCACGTTAGTATTATTACATTAGCACTATGAACCGTTACATTAATATCGTAAACGATCAATAATAAAAAATAGGGTAAAGTATAGTAATGGTCACTGAATATTTTTGAAGTTTGTATTTAGGATCGTCACGTTAGTATTATTACATTAGCACTATGAACCGTTACATTAATATCGTAAACGATCAATAATAAAAAATAGGGTAAAGTATAGTAATGGTCACTGAATATTTTTGAAGTTTGTATTTAGGTCCCCAATTTTTAAAACTTACAATATAATCCCTCAATATTTATTTCGTTTGCAATATGATCCCCCAACTTAAACAATAGTTAGAAAATTAGGGTAAATTATATAAATGATCATTGAACTTTTCAAGCACTTGAATTTAGGTCCCCCAACTTTTAAAACTTTCAAAACAGTCCTCAATTTCATTCTAAACCTCAAATTCCAAAGTATGTCAATTTCACTCTAAACCCTAAATTCCAAAATAATTCAATTAAATTCTAAACCCCAAATTCTAAAATACTTCAAATACTTTCTTGTTGCTAAAAGAAACAATTTTCAAAAGATTCACTAGATATTTTAGTGCAGTTTAAGGCAGTTTTTTTTATGATTATAGTGTCTTTGAGCTAGAGGGATGCCTTCTGAAGGTGTGAGATAAATGAATAAATTTCGTAGTAAATGAACTATTGTTGGATGATAAGCTTGGAAAATAAATTTACCGTTGAGAGCTTTTTGATTTCATCGTTTAATATTTTTTGTTTGTTTTCTAACTTCAGGAGGAGTTAGTCGTGGCTGCCCAGATAATTCTGGTGTTGCTGGAACCCTTTATGATGCTGTCCCCCGAAGCCTTACTGTTAACAATCATAATATGTCAACTGATACAGATACTCTTCTTCTAGAATTTCCTTACCAGCCACTTTGGACTAATGTCTATATTGAAAATAATGCCAGAGCTTCTGTTCCTTTGCTTTAGAGTCGGGTTCAGGTTTGAGAATTTTAAGTTTTTGCTCTTGTTAAGATTTTAAGAAATGTTGATATCATGCAATGCAAACGGCCAACACTCATGATTATTGGTTTGGATCCTTCAAAGTGTTTTTTATGTTTTATTTTTTCTTTTACCGTTTGAGCTATTATTAAATTGTGTGTGCGCCTATAAATTTGAAGTTGTCTCTTTAAGCTTCTCCCTCCTTTATAGGTGTAGTTACCATTTCTTGCACTTCTTGTATTACTTATTTTATTATTATGCTTGTAAAGTTTACTGAGATAAAATTAGATTTGGCATGAGGAAGTTAATTTAAGTGTTTGCATCCTATATAGGTGCAGGGGCAGATAAGCCTTCTGAGCGGGGGGGGGGGGGGGGTGTTGAGCTTTGGGCTAGCACATTATGCGTCTTCAGAGTTTGAACTATTGGCAGAAGAACTGTTAATGAGTTATTCTACAATCAAGGTGATGGACTCATTTTCTTACGGCCTTGAACGATATGTACCATTATAGTTACTATTTCATTTTTCGTCTTAAATTCTTGTCATAGTCACATTGCTAAGTTGTTTACTGTTCAGAAAACAGATTACATATTTTAATTGAAGTTTTATCCATATGTTGTATCTTTGTTACGATATATTTCCTCATCTGGCACATTTTAGGTCTGCTAACATGTCTTTGAGTTCTGAAATATCCTTATTGAAGCAGCAGGATGATTTCTAACGGGATGATAAATATATATTCTATCCCAAATGCTTTCTACTTTTTTTCTGCTTTACTTGACCATTCTGCCCTAGTTTTCTTTTTTCCCTATTTATAATATGTTTCTGATATCAGGTCTATGGTCTTTATTTTGTAACCTCTCTGTTTGACTGATATCAGGTCTATGGGGCTTTACGCATGACTGTGAAAATATTCTTAATGTTGAATTCCAAAATGTTAATGGATGGTGGTGAAGACACAACTGTTGCAACTTTATGGCTTGAGTCTAGTAATTTAGTTGTTCTCAAGGTGTTTAATATACTCACTGTTTTATGAATTTCTGATTTTATATTATGAGAACATATTGTTTCTTTTGAAAATAGTAAATTCATGTTCAAAATTTCAAAACACCTTAATTTCATTATAAACCCTAAATTCCAAAATAATTCAATTACATTCTAAACCTTAAATTGAAGTATTTTAGAATTTGGGGTTTAGAATTTAATTGAATTATTTTGGAATTT